TTTGAAAACAATTGTTACGAGATTACATAACAATTTGTAATTTNTATTTTTAACGTCAAAAGTATAATGATATATTGTTAATTTTTAAAGTGCAATTTTAACAATGCATGAAATATTATATGACCTACATATAAGGCCATAGAATTTAAATATAAATGAAAATATCACTTTTTATTGAAGTACAGTACATTAGAGCCGTAAAGCCGAATAAATTGTATAAATGTTAATTTAAAAATTTGGATTTATCCCGTGAGGTAAGATATAAATCTATAAATGAATGTCTTTTATAGATTCATATCTTGACCCATACTTATTAAAATAGCTGAGTGACTTTTCAGCTGTTGTAAGAATCGGGATAAGATTCGAACCAGGATCGCTATCACGATAAAATTACTTATTTAAAATATTAAAGATAGGAAAAAATATTTTGCATTTTTAATATAACCTATTATAGCTTTCACAAAGTTATAAGAATATATACATATTTTCGTATTTAAAGTCAGTCAAAGTCAGTATTTTATTAGTAATTAAAAACAATCTACATTATAGTACAGTATCGTTATTGATATTATTCTAAGACGATAATTTATTATAAAACAGTTTATTTATCCTACTTCAAGTATACCTAGCACGTTTCTTATTTTAATCATAAATATTCGGATTTATCCCATTATATAATTATATATAATAAAATGAAGTTATTTAAGTATATTTTGGTTTATAGAAAATGCAAAGCATATTTTGGAATATTTTATTTATTTACGTTTAATAACAAAATGTTTTGGTTATGCCTTTACAATATTATTTTACCTATCCATAAAAAACCCTTAAAGTTAAAAGGAAGATAAAATAAAACACTTGTTATTTTTATATGGACATATTTATTTATTAACATTTAAATAAATAATAAAACTTAGATTTAATACAAAATACTTCTAAATACTGTAACAGTTATCAAAGTATTACTCGTATTCGTCCATTTTTTATATTATTGTGAAGTTTAAAAACTGTTTGTTTTCTGAGTTTAAAAAATAGCAGAAAAATATAAATGTAAATATTTTGAAAATGCTTGTATAAAAATAAAAAATGTAAGAAATTTTGTCGTAATAACAATAACTATTAAGATACAAAAAAGAAGTTATTTCTAAAATTCTAAAAAAAAATTTTCAAAATATAGAGCGGCATCATATCGACTTGAAAAGAAGAGAGATGAATCGTTGAAGAGCAGCATTGAAGGAGAGTCCTTAAAATCAAATGGATAGACAAAAGCAAATTAATATAAAGTGAGAAAGGAAATCATAAAAAGAAACGCAAGAAAATGATAGGGACATGGGGAAAGAAAAACAAGAGAGACTCGGAGGTATAGTCCTGACTGAAAAACATATTTCAAAAAATTTTCTAAATTGGAAAAGACAAAAAAAAGTAACAAGAAGAAATAAATGCTTTTTGAAAACAATTGTTACGAGATTACATAACAATTTGTAATTTATTGAATGTACAGTACTATACAATTAAATAAAAATCTTAAAACTAAAGAGTTAATCATGTTATGTATAGTATATACATAATTATTACAAATTAACAAATGAATTTTATTTAATAATAAAATAATTAATACCTAAAGACTTTAATATTTAGAAAAAGTTAAATTAATTTAAAATCTGTTTATAGATCAATAAGCATAAAATTGTAAATATGAATTATGTCAACTTTATAAATTAGGTTTCGGTATATAAAATGTCATTATCGATTTTTTTAATTGTTTAAAACTTAATTTATTTTCTCTAAATTCTTTTGTCAACAATACTGTATACTTGATTAAACAATTAATTAAATATAGCTTTATTAATAATATTAATACATTCTCAATGAAACAATCATTAACTTTATGATTAAAAAATTTCTACCCTATTGATTTAATAGTTTTAAACTTTAATAACTATTTAAATCTCCTATTTGATTTTATAAGAAAACTAATGAACCCAATTCTTTTCGATCTAAGAAAATGTTCTCATCTCAACTTTGATGGATAGTATATTATTTTGAAAAGTAATAGTAATTCGTATATGATTGATCATTAGTAGGAAGTTGTAACATAATCTTGAAAATAGAAAATATTTCTAATTAAAAATAATCGATTTTTTAAAATATGAAATATTAGAAAATGTGAAGACAGACTGCATAAGAATATAGTAGTTAGTGAATAAAGTCCAATGAAAAATCTTGATAATATCATTTGTGTTTTAATAAATAAAAATTTAATCAATGAATGGAGGTTTGTAATATTAATACAAACTAACATAAATGCAAGAAAAGGATTTTATTAGTAATATCTCCTGCTGTTACAAAAATAAAATTAAGTTAGTAAAAAGTTTGGTAGTTTTCTTAAATAGATTTGAAGCATTAATATCTAATGTATAAAAAGAGCTATATTATTTTTGTCATGAGATCTTATTACCTATATTTTTATTTGTACAATAATATATATATACCATTGTTGTATTCAATGGTATTTCTTTGCGCATTATGTAAAATAATTTTGCCAGTATTGAAATGTACAATATAAATTCAAACAAAGAATTTTAATATCTATTTATAAGGTCTTTTAATTTTTAAAATACTGTAGTCTTTAAACTATAAACATATACATTAATATTAACATTAAAAACTCAAGAGTCATTCATTGTTATTTTGACACATTGTTTCATTACATAACATTTCTATATTCTCCCTCATTCTGTTCCAACTTTACAACTTGTTAAATTTACAACTCTGTATATTTGTATGAATCTTTTAACTTATTTCACAAGTTTTTCTTTTCAAATATCAACTTATTAACCTTGAAATGATTTATATGACTGAAGTCTGCTTTTATGCAGAAAGGAAATTAAAAATTATCCATATTCGATTTTAATGCCCGGATATTTTGCAAAATATCCCAAATGTTTTAATACTTTTTATTTCTGTTATATTATTAATTTATTTGTTATAATATAAAATATCATTTCTTTATGTTCGAAAAACGTTTATATTGTTTTAAATTAAGCTAGAAAGAAATTCCTGTCTGATAATGTTAATCGAAAAAGAAAGGAGGAACTCTTCTCTTTCTCTGGAAATATTTCCTTAAGTTAATCTTCTCAATTATTAGTTTGCTCCTGGTGTGAGTTTGTGAGGCAGTTCGATTGTTTAATCATGTATTCAAACTCTTGACAGATGCAAAGAACCAATACACTGCAGCATCATGAAGAATAATTATAAAGATAATGACAATAAACTTATTGCAAAATTATGATAGTGACATTAAGTGAACATTGACATCTGATAATGATAATAAGTTTTCGGATTTGAAATATGTGTCTATACACTAATATAAACTATCTGTGACTGTATATGTGTGTGTTTCTATAATATTCTTCAGAAAGTAAAGATTATTAATATTATTTAATGAAAAATAATCTGTTTTTTTCTAAATTATAGAATAAAAGAAAAACCGTTTAAGAGATTAACATGTCGCGCCTATTATATATTAATATTGCATAATAGATTGTTCGTTTTCGGGCAATATTATAAACAACTTATAATTATTACGGCTTATTGCTTAAGTTAAAATATGTATAATGTCTATATGTTACTCTCGATCGTTACTTCTTACAACAGATATATATATATATATTTTTTTTTACAACAATTTTAGTTTATTTTTCTATTATGCTTCACTCACTCAGAAGAAAAGCTTACAAGTAACTTTATATTTAAAAAATTTATATTACAGTTTTTAGATTTCTGAAATAATTTTTTCACACTTTATTTGCATTTTATATTTTCTGTTTTCGATATATTGTGATCTTTAGGAGAAATAAGCTTTGATTCTATAATATATGTTACAAATCTTCTCAATTGACATTTTTCCATACAAAGTAGTCCGTATTCAAATTCATACAGATTAAGTCTAAATAATCTGTGTATAATTAATCAAATTCTTCTCAATCCTTTCTCTCATTTAAAATTTTATGAGTCTGAGATATACTGTAGAATTATATCAATTTACAGGTCTTAAATTTTATCAAAAATACGAATTGATTTATTATCTGTCTGAGAAATAAGATTTAAATTATATTTCCAATTAGCAAATGTTTACAAATATTATTTTATTAAAAATATAAGACGATAATCTACATATCAGATTCGAAATGCTCTTGAATATTATTTCAGGCTTCAAATATGGATTAAAAATCGCAAATGAGTTCAGTCTAGTTATTGTTTATTGGAATTAAAAATTTTTATTCAAATAATAAATATTTGAAGATGAGATTTAGAATTATCTATTTCCATTTATAAAATTAAAATAAAATATTTTAAAATTAAAATTTATTTAAATTTCTAAATAGACTTTAAGTTTTATAATTTATAAATGATAATAAAAAGAATTGATTTATAATGTTTCTTGAAAATTATTTAAGTAAATAAATTTTTTCTGAATATAGTTACATGTATTTAAAATTTTAAATTTCATAATCATTAAATTGGTAATGAAATTAATACGATAAATTTTTAATTTTACATAACATTTTAATATAAAAATCTTAGATTTTAAATTTATTATTAAAACAGTTGCTGACTGGATGATTACAATGATAAATAGGGAATATTACATTTTATTTTTTCAAATTTTAATCAGAATATAAGATTAAGAAATGTATGATTTTTTAAAAAGTTATGTTATATTTATATATAAACGATTGTTGATTTTATCCAAAATATTCTTATTGACATAATCTTCACAGAAGTATTACTATTATGTAAATAAACATTTATTATATGAAAACGGAAAATACTCATCATTAAAATAACAAACTACACCATTTTTTTACTTCAAAAATGAAGTCTTGTAAATGTTAGAAGATAAATGATCATTTATCGTGTTTGTTCCGTTTGCTTATTAATTAATATTTTATTTTGTATCTGTATATGAAGGATATTAATTGTTGTCTTCCCCACAGGTTTCACAGCAAGATGCATTAAGCCAACAACTGACAAGAAAAGCTAACTGGGATATTGCAAATGACAGGGGATGGACGGTAACTACACAAACATTTCATCCTATGACTACTACGTTCAAACGGATATACCAATCAACTTCACTACTATATCCGTCGAAAATGAAACATTCAGTTCAACCAAGCAACCATATAGCATTCCTTCTGATCCTACTGATTCACCTCCCATATACGATTGGAACAACAATCCGTATCCAAGTGGATATTCACAAATTCACATCATCGTTACATCATTTTTCGTCACGTTAATTATGATCATCATCGTGGTGGGTAATATGTTAGTGTGTATTGCAATAGCTACTGAAAAATCACTGAAAACGGTGCAGAACTGGTTTATAGCATCTTTAGCTGTTTCTGATTTTCTTGTTGGACTTGTGATCATGCCATTTTCATTAGCTAATGAATTAATGGGATATTGGATATTTGGTCCCTTATGGTGTGATATACATTCAGCGCTGGATGTGTTTTTGTGCACAGCATCTATCAATAATTTATGTCTAATCAGTTTAGATAGGTATTGGTCAATAACTCAAGCTGTTGAATACTTGAAAAAAAGAACCGCCAAACGTGCACTAGCTATGATATGCTTTGTGTGGTTGTTATCTGCTCTTATATCTCTTCCGCCATTATTAGGATGGAAAAAGTTTGATGATCCTCCTGATTATCCTACTTGTACTGTGAGTGGAGAAATCGGTTATGTGTTGTATTCAGCATTAGGTTCATTTTACATTCCAGCTATAGTTATGGTTTTTGTTTATATACGTATATTTATAGCAGCAAGATCACGAGCTAGACGCCATGTTAAAAAAGCACGCCATGCACCAGAAATTACTAACGATCCAACTGGTAGAGATAAATCTACTACTACAACTACTACATGCACAAGCTTTAGTAATCCCAGTCCACCAGACAAATATCGTGAAATTGAATTTCAATGTTCACCAAAGAAAAGAAAATTAAACGGAACTAGTATCAAAGAAGAGAGCCCTCCACCTACACCTCCTCATACACCACAAATTGTTATCGAATCTTCTAAAGACAGTCCAGATAGATTTTTACCTGGTCCTTCATCACTGCCTTGTATGGTTGAAGTGTTGGAAGAAAACGATAATATGGATGAGAACAGAAGCGACTGGAGGCAAATGACAGATTCGGATGAATGTACTTCACCCCCTTTCAGGAAAACAAAACATTCTTCATTAAAAGATCCACTTCCAAGATCATCTTTATTAAGTGCGCCGAAATTCATGAAAACTCAGTTTGGGTCTACATTATCATTAGCGGATTTTGATAAACCAGATTCAAAAAGACAAAGAATATTAAATACGAGAAAAAGAAGAAAAGGTGGAAAAGTGAAATGTCAATCACTTCCCGTTCGTCATGTTCCATCAGATGCTGAAAGACAAAAAAGGAAATTAGCTAAAGCGAGGGAAAGAAGAGCTACTTTAATATTAGGTTTAATAATGGCAGCATTTATTTTAGCGTGGTTACCATTTTTTGTGTTATATGTAGTAAAAGCTGTTTATAGAGCAGATAGTATTGATGAAATTGGATTTGCAATTGCATTTTGGCTTGGTTATTGTAATTCTGCTCTAAATCCCATCATCTACACCATTTTTAATCGTGATTTCAGACGTGCGTTTAGAAAAATTCTCTTTAAATAAAATAATAATAATAATAATAATTGGTTTGAATGAAGTACTCGTCTTCCAACATGTCAGTGCCTGTTGGTGAAATGCTTGGTGTAAATTATGAAAACTTGGATCCAGAACAGGTTGAAAGACTTTTCTGAAAACAAAAGTTACAATGTATGTATACCAACGTTGTTGATTGCATATATTGTATTTTATTCTAAACATTTTCATACAAAATGAAAACAGTAAAATCTTGAAAATTTTCACAATAACCTGTTGATCACTGAATTTCAGATCTAAAAATTTATACGCACTTTTTTATTCAAAACCTCTTAAACAATGTTGTGTGATTGTGAAACTGTACATTAAATATTAATCTAAGAGTACGTATTTTGTATCTACACTTTAAATACGTTTGTTTTTGCACAATGGTTTGTTAAAATTTTAGAATATATATGTATATATATAAATATATACACATATATATAAATATCTTTCCTTCTGATATCATATGTTAAATTTCTTGAAAACGTAACGTAATTTGCATTTTAATTTTCTTAAAATGTTAATTGTTTAAAATATATAAATATATAGTTTTGGAATAAAAGAAAAATTATTTTGCACTATCAAAATTTAAAAATCAAGGAAATAGTATGAAATTTTATCTAATTATATAATAAACAATAGGCATAATAAAGTCATAAAACGTGATAACTTTTATATGTTTAGTGCAAGACCATATTTTAGATAAAAATATTGGTTTTTTGCACTTATTAAAAATCGGTACAAAATCAATTCTCCATACAGAAATAAAGGGAAAAATGAAATATTACATACATTTTATAATATAAAATTTTATCTTTTAGTACTAAAATCGAAGATAATTAAAAATAGAATTAAAAAGTCGAATTTCAAATATCAGAAGGAAAAAATGAATAAATATTTTTTGAGTTGTGAAAAATGTTTTGTGTGTAAAATAGAGTGTGTTTATATATCAACAAATATCGCGTGAAATACACATAAGTATACTTTTACACAGCACTAAAAATCATCGGATTACTCATGTATTTCATAGGCAGCTAATAGCATATTTCAAAAAATTTCCCTTAAAGATAATGGGAAATTATAAAGGAAATCTTGATACGTAATGTTTAAAATATTACATATTTGTGGAGTTTAAGTTTGAACCCATGGCTATGCACCTACACAACGATTGGTTGATCAAAAGAATTTCCCAGAATGGATATATTCCTGGTGTTTATGCTATTCCTCGTGTTGATGCCTTAATAAATAAAAGAAAGTCGTATGCAAATTGTTTAACAGTAGAAGCGTTCACACATATAAAGGATATATCTTCATATCTGATACCCGAAAGGATATTTTGTATTCTAAGAGCGAATATCTCTTGTATCTATCCTCTAAATAAAGCCAATGTGATCGCATTACATATAAATATAAATAAATATATATATATATATTATATATACTTATAGGCTTCCGCCCAGAAAAACCCCTTAATGACTCAAAAAATATGAGATAAATAAATAAAAAAAAATGCTTTTAACAGTAGCACAATTCATAAAAGTTCTATTTTGCACTGGAAATTCTTTAAATCCCAACCATTGCTCATAATATATGTTCAATAATTCCAAAAATAACATTCATTTCTTCCTTTCATAAATAAGTTATCATTTATTGTATAAATCTTGACAAATATTTATTGTAAGTTTTGACATTTATCTTATGTGACTTTTTCCTTTTTTGTAATGAAATTTATTGCAATAAAATACAATAAGTATGTATAAATATTATCATCGGTAACAAATCAATAAAAAATAATATTTGTGAAATGTGCATGTCGTACACGAATGTAAACACTTATAAATAAATTCACAATTCTAGAAAATATTACACTAGCCTACGTAGCAAACAGACTGTAAACGAAAAGGTCCATGGTGTGTTTTTGGATATATTTTAAGTACTTTTTGATAAAATTGAGTCAGTGATTCAAGTGTCTTAGACTTATTAATATTGTCTTTACTTTATTCAAAATATCAATGTTTTGAATTTACTAAACTTTATTTCACTTTAAACTTAGTGATTACGAGCAATAATGTATCAGTTTGAAATTAAAATTTTGTAATCTAAATCATATTGCTTGTAAACCGTAGAAATTTTATGTAAGAATTTTGAAATTTCACTTTTCTTTATTCTTTTCTAATTCATTTTAAATCTTTTCTTTTATTCTCTAAGAGAAAAATACTTTGTTTTAGAAACCTTATCAGAAATAAATGTTATGTGGCTTTAAATTTATTACCTAAAGTGAAATCCAACCTCAATATAGAGTTCACCTAAATAACACCATCTTTGTAAATCTTCAATGAATACTTCTTATGAAAGGACACTCATAAATATTAAATACAAAACTTTTAATATCTGTGACTTGCTAAATATGAAATTTTGCATTGTGAAAACAATGTGAATAACATTGTTTTCACAATGCAAAATCAATGTTATCGTTCGCGATACTTCAGTTTAGCGCCACACTCGATTTAATGATGCAAATACGGGTAGATGATGCCTTTAAATCGAATTTTTAAATATCTTTCTATACCATATACTTTTACAAATAATTTAATGTAAAATATATATCATAGATATAATATACGTATAGTTTTTTTTAAGCTCCAAT